GCGTCCGCCTCCAGCGCGCGGTACAGCATCGGCAGGATGTCGCTCTTCGCCTCCTCCCCCGGGGTCAGTTTCAGCAGAAGTTCCATTTTTTGCATAAATATCAACAAAATTTGTATGGGATCTTGCATCAACATAACAGGCCTCAGAACGGGAAGTATGTATTTCACGTACTCCTCTTTGCTTGAGTTTTCTGCAATCAATAGAACATTCGGCAGCACGAAGGGCACCATGGGCGGGTTGACGAACTCCTTGGTGAGACACGGGAGGATCCGGTATATGCAGATGCGGTGAGGCATTTTCTGTATTACTTGAGGGAGTCCTTTGTAAAACTGAGACTTTTGCAAATTATCCCATTGAAATAGTGAGTCTAAATAATTCAATGTTTTCACTCCAACATCTTCAAAGTAGGGAATCTGACAATGAAGCAAATTATATTTAAATTTTACAAAACTTTGCACAAAATCTTGATTTGTGTTAGTCACATGAATGAAAACTCAGCTACATTCAACTAAATAATGGCAAAGAAAAACATTAATGTTAATTTGAAAAAGGTCTCATTCTCAGAACACTTACTTTTAAAAACTGATGTGGGTCGGGCCGCAGCTCCGGTGTTGTGTTCAACATCAGCTTCACATATTCCCTGAGGCCGTCTGCCACACAGAGCAAACGGGACTGAGGAAGGTTTCTCAGCTCATTTGCAAACTTCTTGAACTTCATGTAGTCATTACCTATATTCCCCAATGAATGATGCCCCGTACTGTGCAATGCATAGATCAACATACCAAGAGAGTAAATATCACTGGCAGGGGAATGACTTGCAGACAGAATATATTCAGGTGCCAGGTAGTCTAAAGTGGGTTGGGTCAGCGGGTGCAGTGCCTGACAGTACTCGGTGAACGGCCAAAATGATGCTGCACCTGGAGAACTCTGATTTGCTATGCAGAAATCAAAACCAAATATCTTCCAAGCTCCTTGCTGATTCACTATAATTGATTCGGGACATATGTTGTGATGAAGGAGTTTAACATCATTGTGGAGGAATGCCAGGCCCTCGGCAACTTGCATCAAACCATACTTTATCTCTACTTCATACAATTTGTAATTCACCAAATTGTTGGGTATGGGTTGCGGCATATTCTCTGTGTTGCCTAATATATTTGCCAGACTTGCGAACACAGGCTCCGTCGCAAACGCGAGACTCTCTCGGCTCTCCTCCAAGCTGTGCTGTACCGTGAGGACCTGCGGGTGGCGCAGCTTCGTAAGCTGCACGACACCGCGCCTCAATATTTCGATCATCACATCTCTATCGGCTTTCGTCCAACGATCGAGCAGTTTCTTTTCAAACACAAATATAGACGCTTCTTGTTTCGTTGATTTTTTGTACCCTTTATAAACTTTCCAGAGGAGACCTAAAAATTGTTGAAAGAAGTAAAAAAGTTTTTTTTACGTTATTGTTGAACTTAGTTACATTTTTTACCTGGGCCAGCACTGGCAATAAATTGTGTCGCTTCAAATTCTCTTGTGACAGGATTCCCTGGTAAAACACCAGATAATTGGGATACAGTATTACTAACCGATGAATAAAACTTGTTAAAAACGTCCATTTTTACGAACAAAAAACTTTACTTTCTTGTAACCAAACAAATTCATTTATCATAAATCCTATAGGCGTTTGACATTTTGACAAAAGAATGACATCTGACGTTGACATCATTTGGTTGACATGCTATTATACATTTTTTGTACCGAAAGCAGCAATGGTCAGGAAAATCACTCTGACAAAAGCCTATTTTAGAACAGTTAGGTTCTAGTTACTTGTACATAAAAAGATTTTTGAAAGCCAAGAAGTCGTGTTTAGCTTTTCTGGTACTTTTGAAAATTGTTTTTGATACTTGTAAGCTACCCTTTTACTCTTGAGATTTGAATACAATTAAATATGAAATAAAGGAAATCAATTTCTTAAGCAATATGGCTCTTTCAACATTTTATTTTTAGTGCCCTAGAGTCAAACACAAACATTTATATTTTTATTTCTGCAGCTGTTAGGATTCATGATTTGCTGTTTGGCTGATTACCACAGGACTCAGCGCCAGGAAAAACGTCTATGTTTAAAAAGTAAAAAGTAATGACGTCTTGTTTATTATCTCGCTGACATCTGATTTGACACATGTTTTGTTTTTATTTTCTATGAAGTTAAATTAAAATATCTAATTACCTATTATATATTTGCATTGTACATATAGAAAGTCAAATATATTGTCTTTATCTGATATTTGTAGTGTATTAAATAAATAATATTGTCAGTCGAAGTTGACATGATGGATTTTTTAAAAAACTAAAATGATGAACCAACTAAACATTAATATCTTTGTAATATTTCTCGTTATCCCAATAGTAGCATCGGACAGTGACCCGTATTCTAAGGAGCCTTATCGAGCTTTGGGCCCCTTGGTAAAATGTGATTTTTTGCCTCTGGAGTTTCTGGACTGTGACGAGCCTGTGGACCACAAAGGAAATGTTTCAGCCAAGGCGGCCGTCATTCACGGATGCTTGAAGTTCGGTGGAGTGAGATACGAAAAGGTGGAAAGAACAAAAGTTCAGTGCAAAGTGTTAGATGGTATTGAATGTTTCGGTTCCCGTAGTTTTCTGAAGGATGGCTTCCCTTGCGTCAGATATTCTGGACATTATTTTACGACTACGTTGATATATAGCATACTACTTGGATTCCTAGGCATGGATAGATTCTGCCTCGGGCAAACGGGCACAGCTGTTGGCAAACTCTTAACATTGGGTGGTCTTGGTATTTGGTGGATTGTTGATGTAATTCTCCTGATAACGAACAGCCTTCACCCAGAGGATGGCAGCAACTGGAACCCATATGTTTAAAACACTAGCATTAGTGTAAAATGTGATCTAACTTAGTTCAACTTGATACTATAGACATTTAAAAAACATAGACTCTTCCGTTTGCTCTAATTATCAATCTGTGTAAATAAATAAATCTATTACTTTTATATTTGTTTCAATTCTGTAAGATTATTTCTTTTTGTAAATTGTATTAACCCTTGTATATTTTCTTAATACTAAGGAGTGAACCATTAATAGAAAAATGACAAGCAACAGGATAGCATGCTATGGTATTGTTATGAAAATATGATGAATCACATTAAAAATAAAGTAATTAGATTGTATCTGGAATGTTATCAAAGTGGAGGAAAAGCAACTAAAGTATGAAAGTATTGAGTGAACGATAATGATGGATGGAAAAGTTGTTCAAAGTAGTAGTGTATGAACAGCATCAGCCTGTTGACGATAAAAAGATTACCATTTAAATATACACTAGAAAAAAGTGTTGCAATCTCGCAATCGGCCTATCCCCTTCATTTTAGTGGGGATATTTAAGTCCAATATTGCAATCAGTAGCCAAATCAACTTTGCCTACACCGTAAGGTATAAATTTGGCCTAAAGGGCTTGATACTAGGTCATAAAATGTAAAAAAGTAATGACAACGCTGACAAGACAATGTCATTTTGTGCCAAGTGTCAATTTGACATAAGCAAAAACATTGAAAGAATAATAGAATTATGAAATATCACATTTACTTTAATTAATACATTTATAATTTTGATATGAACTGTAAAACATTAAAATCCATTAATTAGAAATCATAAATTTGTATTTTGTTTATAAACGTAATTTAAGGAAGGGTTGTTGAAGATGACGACAAATGTGCGCGCTTCGGTGTCGCAGATATTGCGAAACAAAGATGAAGGCGGCGATGATGAGGAAGAGCCAAAGAAAAAATCAAGGGAGGACTGGAGAAAAGCTAAGGAGTTAGAAGAAGCGCGTAAGGCCGGAACTGCGCCAGCGGCGGTCGACGAAACAGGTACTAGGAAATACGACAAACAAACTGCTTACTGGAAAAATCTCTCGTTATCGTATCCTAACAATTGCTGCAACGTAAAATATATCTATAAATATCGGTAACATTAACATTATTTGTTGTAGGGAAGGACATAAATCCTCACATTCCCCAATACATATCGTCCGCGCCGTGGTACTATGGCACGGCGGGCCCCACGCTCAAGCATCAACGGCCGCAAGCCGACCGGGAGGGACAGTTCACTAAACTTGACACATATTACAATAAAGGAGTTGATGATGTAAGTGTTATGCCAAAGAGGCCGGTTATTATATATCCTCAATGTTACAATGTTGTGCTATATGTTTATCTGATTACAGACGAAAGTAGCAACGAAATTTAGAAAGGGTGCCTGTGAAAATTGTGGAGCATTGACACATAAGAAGAAAGATTGTCTGGAGCGCCCGAGGAAGGTAAGGAGATTGTTGTCTTATTCTGATAATATCACAAATTATAATGAAATTAAATGTGAATATATATAAATTGATATACTTTAATAAATTCTATGTTAATGATATAAAATGCAACCTATATACACAGATTGGTGCAAGATTCACAAATGCAGCAATAGCACCAGATGAGTTTAACCAGCCCGACCTGAACTTGAGCTATGATGGTAAACGGGACAGGTGGAATGGCTACGATCCTGAACAACACAAAGCTATCATAGAGGAGTACCAGAAAGTTGAGGAAGCTAAGAGGGAACTGAGGGCTAAGAAACTAGAACAGGGTATGTTGTATTCTAGACATCAGAAATTAAAAAAATGTTTTTAGCTTAATTTTCTAGTAAAAGTAGGATTGTTTTTTTCACACATCTGATTATATCCCATTTTATTGTGACTTGCCGTCTTCAAACAATTTTTATGAGTCTACTACTTATTAAATATTAAATATGTTTCATTATTCAATAAATAGTTGTGTTCAGATCCAACAGCCACAGAGGGGGATGACAATGAGGAGGAGGATGAGGACAAGTATGTGGACGAGGTGGACATGCCCGGCACAAAGGTACACTATTAAATAGTTACACTGCTGTACACTTTGCATTTAAAATGCAGTTAAAAATGTATCACTTTATGTTTGTAGGTGGACTCCAAGCAACGTATTACAGTGAGAAACTTACGTATCAGAGAAGACACGGCCAAATACCTCAGGAATTTGGATCCCAATTCCGCTTACTATGACCCCAAGACTCGTTCGATGAGGGACAATCCCAACCCGAGTGCAGCCGAGTGAGTAATTTGGAATCATAGATATCGCCTATATTTGCACCTACCCTTTCGATTGTGTCACAAAATTAGATATGAGTATGTTAAAAGTGTAAAGTCAGTGTGAGCGGTGTGCCCGAGCAGGTCGGAGTACCTCGGGGAGAACTTCGTGCGGTTCACGGGCGACACGCGCGCGCAGGGCGCCGCGCAGGTGTTCGCGTGGGAGGCGCACGCGCGCGGCCTGGACGTGCACCTGCTGGCCGAGCCCACCAAGCTGCAGCTGCTGCAGCGCCAGTACGAGGAGCGCAAGCGGCTGCTCAAGACGCAGGTGAAGGAGTCGGTGCTGGAGCGCTACGGCGGCGCGGAGCACCTGCAGGCGCCGCCGCGCGACCTGCTGCTGGCGCAGAGCGAGGTCTTCACGCGCTACAACCGCGACGGCACGCTCGTGCAGGGCCCGGAGAAGCAGCTCGCCAAGTGAGAACACTTTATCAACGCCTCCACATTTATTATATCCTTTATTGCGTAGCGTAATGTAGCCGTACAGAGTGCCGCATGGTGATGCCTGGCGATGTGCAGGAGCCAGTACGCGGAGGACGAGCTGGTGAACAACCACACGACGGTGTGGGGCTCGCACTGGCGCGACGGCCGCTGGGGCTACAAGTGCTGCCACTCCTTCGTCAAGGTATCGCACGACTCGCTCCTTCGCCGATGTGGCGACGTGCAGAGTGCGGAGTGTGCGGAGTGTGCAGAGTGTGCAGAGTGACAGAGCGCGGTTGTTGCAGATGTCGTACTGCGTGGGCGAGGCGGGCAAGGCCGCGCTGCTGGACGCGCCGCACCCGCCCCACAACGATACTACAGATAACAATCATAAAGGTAAGCGACCTTTTCCTAACCGCTTTATTATAAATTAACATTTTCACGTATGTTATAAAAATTCCTTCCAGAAAAACCTGCAAAATCTTCATCGGAGTCCAGCGCCAGTAGCAGCAGTTCATCTGAGTCCGAAAGCGACACCAGAACTAAGACGGAGAAGACGAGTAAGAAGAAGAAAAACAAAAAGAAAGCTAAGAAGAAAAAGAAGAAGGACCAGAAGAAAGAAAAGAAAGCCGTTGATAAATTGAAGAAGGTAAGATTTGTAAGATGCATTATACACAGTTTCAAATGTTTGTTCGCGATAAAGTGAATGTGACAGCAGAGAGAGAGAGAGGGAGGGAGGGAGGGAGGGAGGACGTGTGATGTGCGATGTGTGCAGGCGCTGGCGGAGGAGGAGCGCAGCCAGCGCGCGGCGGAGCGCCAGCTGGCGGCGGACGAGCGCAAGCGGCCCTACAACAGCATGTACGAGGTGCAGGCGCCCTCGGACCACCAGATGGAGGCCTACCTAATGAAGCGCAAGCGGGAAGAGGACCCCATGTCACAATTTTTGTAAAGCAGTCGTAATAAAACACATCTAAAAATTAACTATTTTTTATTTATTCTTACGAGAATTTCTTTTCCATTTCCCAGATGGCCACTCAAAATTTTTAGTTTTTTTCACATGAAAGTCATCTTAAGTTAACAATATTCATGGATGTATTACTAGAACAGGATAGAGGTCTTGTCGAAAAATTGAAGCCAAGCGAGACCTCAATACCAGTACCATTTTTCCCTCTCTGGCTATGGTGACCATATAATATTATTTTAGGACATTATTGTCCTATATAATATAATTATTTATAAAAAAATATTCGTGACCCGACGTCAATAGATCATTGCTTCAGATGGATTTTAATCAAAAACGCTAATGATAAACTTGCTTTATGCCGCACTATCAATTTTACCGTTTTTGCCTGCTTTTCACACACGCGTCATATACTACTTACCTAGGGGTACTTGTGGGACACGACATGCAGATGAACACCTCCGTGAAGTTGGCTCATTCACCTCCTTTATTTATGAAAAATGCTAGAATCGTTTGAGGGACATAGAGAGGAAAGAAATATCGTTTGAGAGTTCTTAATTTTTCTGTAAAAAATGTTTGAAATTTCCAAATCTATAATCAAGCAAAATTTGATTAATGATTCTTTCAATCATTCTCAGGATTTCGAGGATTAGATAGTCATGCACGGTCATCGTAATTCATACTAACTTACACCGTAATTCTTTCTGCAGTAACAAATTATGTTTAAAACTAAAAAAAAAATACCACAATGAAGATAAAACTCGCTTCCGCAAACCTTACCATTACAACAAGGGAATTTCAAAAATACCGCCATTGAAATCCGATTCGGCAATGTCATGCGGTGTTGTAAGTTCAGGTTCAGGTCAGTTTGAATTTCAAAGAAATAAACGAAAACCTGCATGCCAATCGCAAATATGCGTTAATAAAGTTTTACATGTAACAACACGTAATATAATACTGTTCAGAGCTAGAGGTCGTAAGAGGGAACATATTCTTCCTATAAAATTAAATGGCGTGGACCTACGTAGGGTCTCGTCCTTCAAGTACCTCGGACATGTGGTCACTGAGGACTTGAAGGATGACAAAGATATTGAAAGGGAGCGAAGGGCGATGGCAGTCCGTGCCAACATGCTGGCCCGCAGATGTGCGCGATGTAGTACAGATGTGAAAATCTCTCTCTTTAAGGCGTACTGCCAGTCGTTCTACACGTGCAATCTGTGGATTAATTACACGCAACGGGCTATCAGCGCTCTTCGCGTCCAATATAATAATAGCCTTAGGATGCTGCTGGGGCTCCCCCGACATTGCAGTGCGTCAGAGATGTTTGCGCATACGCAGATTGACGGCTTTAACGCCATTGGCTGCGCGGACACGTACCTAACGTAACATGACCTAACATATCCTGCGTTAGGTCATGTTTTGTTTAAGAATACATGTATTTTTTTTCTTTTTGTTCATTGTATATATTGTAATTATTTGTATTTAATTTTTACGATTTAAATAAATAAATAAATAAATAAATATTGTTCTAACATGTCAGTAATAAATTAATATTAACATTTAGAAACAATTTGAAAGTAAATAATTTACTGCATTACATTACATCAATTGCCTATTTTTTTACCAACAATGAAAGGATTGATAACTGGCAACTCTAGCTCAAAGTTTGAAAGGGACATATCAGACACTTGTAGCCCTCTCACTCGTTTCAATTTCATTTTGCGGGCAACGAGATTCTTACGACCTTAACATAAGGTTTTATTTTCTTTAATTTAACTGCAAAATGTACAGAATGAACACACTCCTGTTGTACGTAGTACTTATTACCTCCATGACTATGTTTTAATAAATACTCTGTGAACGTATAGGGCAACATTGCTTAATTCTCAAATGTCAGTTCAGTCAGATTTTGTTTCGTTCATATCATGTCAATTTTATTTCCCTTTTGATAGTGGGCAGTCTGTTTAAGTTTGTGATTGTTTATTTAAATACATCGTTATGATGGCTGAGGATACGACAGCCGACGCGACGAGAAGATTAAATGTTAAGAAACAGACACTAGATGATGCATACGCAGCGCCGGCAAATTTCCTAGAAATCGACGTGGTAAACCCAATAACAACGATGGGTGTCGGAAAAAAACGCTACACCGATTATGAGGTTCGCATGAGGGTAAGTCTGCGGATATCGCTGCGACGAGTGTACTCTAATTGGATTAGGCGCCTACGCGATAGCGACGCGGCCTCGCCAAATCAGTGGGCGTCTACGACTTCGGACTCTCTCGGCGTTTTCTATTTGAAAATAATTCTAATAGGATGTATTTCCTGTTCGCAGACAAATCTGCCCGTGTTCAAAGTGAAGGAGTCGAGCGTGAGGCGGCGGTACAGTGACTTTGAGTGGCTGAGGAATGAGTTGGAAAGAGATAGTAAGGTGAGTGCCCTCGCGCTCTGATAATGCGATTTTGTGCGTTATCAACATTGAAAAAAAAGTGAATCCACTCTGACTAGTTTTATAGTACAAAGTCATCCTTAAAATTCATATGCAACTTAGATGAGAGCTTACAGCATGGCCTACAAATGTGGCATTGTTATTGATGAACATTCCTCATGCACAAGTCATAACATTGCACAACATTATCATTGTATTCTTGTCAAGGAATTATTTTCATGTTTAATCAATTCCATAATTTATATAAATGTGATGTTATGTTGATGTGCAGCTGTATTTCAAGTGTAATAATATATACAAATACAGTTCAACAACAAATTATTACATTTATTAATGTATAACATAAAAGCAAAGACATCAAGATTTGTATCCCACTTATAATTGTGGTTTAAGTAAATGTTTTCTTATCTTATAAATGATATTTTTTTATTTGTTAAGTTAACTAAACCTGTTTTATAATTCAACCCTGATGCAGAGATCACTATTGAAATAAGGAACAGAATGAGAGAAAGATGTTAAAATAAGGAAATATATGTCTAGAGTTGGACTGCATAATCTGAACTTAGCATCACATGACTAAGCCAAATGACTAATGATGTTTTAAATCTTTTCTTTATACACATATCTCTATGTAATAATATAATATACAATGATATGTTAATTATAGTTGTGTATTGTATTTATGCAGTCCTAAGAGTATACAAGATTTTAAGCTAACACTTCTATATTTGATTTGTCTACAAAAATCTAGTTTACTTGGTTTCTATAATTTTTTTTTTAAATCAAGTCATTTCAATAATATTTAACATTCATATCTGTACAACCTGATGTTCCCATGGTGAGCTGTGAGCTGTTTCTGTTATTGTTTACATTTCTCAAATTCTTAATTGGAAATGTCAAAATTACCGTTATCATAATAACCTTGCTTAATGTTGGCAGCTTGTAGTTTATGATCCCTTTCCCATGTGAAGGTTTTTCCAATTTAATTACCCCCTTAGTTTGATAGTGTGAAAATATATAGACTTAAGTGTGTCGTAAGTGTAGGTCTTTTTATTAAAATATTTTTTTCAAAATATGCCGTCATTGTTGACATTCTACTCCATGAAGTAGTGTGTATTTATGCTTTATTATATAAGTATAGACAGATATAGATAATCTATTATCTGTAATATTTATTTTTTTAAATAATTGAGGAAATAAACGCTAGTTGGTAAATATACTATCCAACATTTTCATTGCATTATACTATTAAAATTTTGTTGTTTGTATGGGAAAGTTGAACAGAAACAAGAAGGGACAATGTATGATGTAATTCCGACAATCATTGCCACAATCTCTGCAGTACTCATGTATTGTAGGAACATTGTCAACAAATGAATACAATTTGCCTTCATTTTGCAGATTGTAGTCCCTCCTTTGCCCGGTAAAGCTCTTAAGCGACTGCTACCGTTTCGCGGCGACGACGGTATATTTGAGGAAGAGTTCATTGAAGACCGCAGAAAAGGTATTAGATGGTTTTGTAAATATTAAGATTAATTACATGTGTGAAACATTTAAACAACTTAAAATGTTAGTGTCCCAGTAAAATTTGTAAGCCACATTTCATGCATGTTTAATAACAAACATTATTGGCGTATATTTTGTTTATTTACATAATACAAACAAAGACTAAAGTTGCGCATGCAATCATTACCTTATTAAAAAAAAAACAAGGTAATAATAATTAGAGATCGTGTAGTATGGGCGCAAGCAGCTCTTGCGACGCCGCACAACGTAGCGGTAATATTGGAAATTGACATTGTTCTTTATGAATACTGCAAGTTAGTAAATGACTTGCTCTCACACGCACTTGACTTTTATTTTAATTTTTGGCTCCGAAAAACCGAATAAAACGTGCAGTACTAAGTGCAGTCAGCTATAAAAATGTATACGACTCCTTATTATAAATAATTACGTACATAACTCTTGTATGCCTCAGACCACTAATTCGTGCTATTAACGAATGTGCATACAATTTTTTGTATGCGGAGGAGTGTACAAGTTTCTGGAGCTTCCAGAATGTATATTTTTCAGCTGACTGTACATATTGATGAGTGTTTGCGGCGCGTTGCAGGCCTGGAGGTGTTCATCAACAAGATCGCCGGACACCCGCTGGCGCAGAACGAGCGCTGCCTGCACATGTTCCTGCAGGAGCCCAACATCGACCGCAACTACGTGCCCGGCAAGATACGCAACACGTAGCCTCGCTGCAGCCTCCCGCAGCCCCCGCAGCCCCCTGCAGCCCCCTGCAGCCCTCCCGCAGCCTCGCAACGGTCCATTGCTAATAAACACTTGTCCCCACTTTTGGAGCCCCACAGCGACCCATCTACTTTCTGGGGTAACCACTTACTGAAGGCTCGAATGTAGTTTTATCTACATTTCAAATAAATCCGTGTCTATAATAAATTGTAATTTATTGTATAAAAAGTAGAGTTTGTGACAAAAGAGATCGGTAGATTAGAAAAAATTATATCTTATTTAAATGTAAGCACTTTTTGGATGCATAATAAATAAGTGGATAGCGCGCGAGCGGGG